AGGCCCATCCGACTCACCTGCCTGTGCGGAGGCAGAGGACCTGGAGCATGCCCGTCATGATCAGGCCACAGCTAAGGGAGGCTGCTGACGTGTTATCTGTTTCTGCTTTTTAAAATTTTGCTGTAGGGCACTTGTGTTCCTCAGAGAGAGGCAGAGAGAGAGGGGAAGTGAGAAAACACCCCCTACGGGGATGGTCATGATGCAATCCCCTCTCCTCCGCATTTCCTGCTTCTGGGATTTTGGGCGTACATGCACACGCACCTGGTGTTTTTCAAGCCTCCAGGTCTGGGACTCTTAAGTGCACAGTAAGCCATGTGGGATCCAGCCACTTTAACCACCAGGTCTCTGGCCAGCCCCAGTTATAGTAACTGAACAAGTGTGGTATCCTCAGCTGTATTGGGATCCACCAAGACTCCCCATATCCCACCTCACAGCCCCCTCATTGCCCTGAGTTGTTACCCGGCATGGTCCTCGGCCTCCCAGGGCACTGGCCTCAGTTGACATGTCACCTCCAGCAGGACAGGTGAGGTTTACACTATGCCACTGCAAACCGTGGATTCCACGTGCCCCTCCTATTGGCGAGGAGCTCGGCCCTGCATTCCAGACCCAGTCAGAACCAAATCAGCCGGAATCCCATCTTCGTGGGTCTGTTTCTTGGGACTCTTCTTAGAAGCACGTACCACATGAGCTGGGACCCAGTCACAAAACAGAAACCACACTGGCTGTTTCCAACAGTGGGGTGATAGGTTAGGAACCCGATTACACGGGTCTGCTGGGGAGGGGAGGCTGACAGTTAGTAGATGATAAATGCTTGTGGAATGAGTGAGAGACAGGGTGGACGTGCAGAGAGCACAAGTGTGATGTTGCAGAAACAGCGGGTTAATGCCAGCCTCCCCTGGGGTTGGGGAACGCACAGGAGGGCTCGAAGTAAGAGGGCTGGGGCAGCAGGGCTGTGCTGGGAGGGAAATGTGCGGTCCCGTTCTCAGGCCAGCAGCCCTGTCTCTACAGACGTGACTGCACTTGCTCCTGCGGCGGGGCAGCCCCACCATCCACAGGCGGAAGTGCAGCGCTGGTGATCTGGCCAGTGAGCTGCCTGGCCTGAGCCCTGCTCCTCTGGCTCAGCCCCCATCTCTGGGCTCCCCAGGCCTGATGACGCCTGCAATCCCTGGCTCTTGGCGTCCTTCCCAGCCCCCACTGCATGCAGCCTCTGCCAGACACTGACTCCCGGTGGAGCACGCAGCAGGCACTCGGCCCAGTGGCGGGGAGCCAGACCTCGGGAGTGTCCAGGTTCCCACCCCACGCAGCAGCAGCCAGCACCTCTGTGGAACCCACCGGGCTTGTGGCGACCGGACTTCCTCCTGTCTGAGCTCCCGTCGTCCCTCCATCCCTCTGCCTGCAAAGCCCTCACAGGCCTGATGCTGCCCAGCCTCCTGGCCCTTGCCCTGCTGTTCTCTCTGTGCAGGACGTCCCTCCCCTGGGGTCTGAGGCTGCACCTCTGGCCTCATCAGACCTCTGCTCCATGAGAAGCCTCCAGTGACCCTGTGACGCACCGTGGCCTGTCCCCACCGTGTCACCAGGAGTGGGGTCTCTCCTTGGCCTTCCCAGTCTTAGCCCCCGAGCTCCTTGCGGGCAGATCTGGGCTGATGTTCTCCCCCTTCTTCCTTGGTCTGACACAGAAGGTGCTCCATAAGTGCTTGTGGAATAAATGAGTGAGGCAGGAGGTGAGGGCCCAGATGTCTCCCTGGACCTCCATGCCAGCCTCGAGGACACTCAGGGTGGGGTAGCAGGGTTTCTGCAGAGGTCAAGTGTGAGAACCGCATGGTCTCACCCTTCCTATCCCATCCCAACAGGACAGGGGTGTGGGGTCAGGGGAGACTGTAGAGAGAGGGGATCTGAGATGGGGACATGGGGGGCACTTGCATGCTCCACCAGCTTGGGAAACTGCCCACAGCAGAGCACACATCCCAGGCGGGAGAGGGAGCACAGTCTGAGCTGAATGTCTGCTACAACCGCGACAGAGACGCAGGTCCACAGCTCCTAGGAGGGGCAGGGCCATGCCACCAGACAGCCCGTGTGACCACCACAGAGAACCCAAACGGGTGAGCCCACCATGGGTGTCCCACGTGGGGACTGTGTGGTGGGGGACCAGCAGGGCTCCAGGGTGGGCCCTATCAGTGCCCACTTGACTTCAACGGCCTCTAGGGTGGTGGGGAAGACTGCGTCCCCTTCTGAACAAGGACCTCAGGACTGGCCTGAGGATGGAATGGCATCATCATCATTTTGTTATTAATTAAGCTCATTAAATATCCACTACTATTGATCATCTTTACTGTGGAGGCTCTCAGGGCTCTGGCTGGCCTTAGAGACTCACCCTTTGCCCCGAAGCCATCATGCCTCGCCCCCACTTTTCTAGAAGAACAAACAGGGACGAGGTCAGTGCCCTGAGCTGCCCCTGCCACCCTCGCCCAGGGATTTAAAAGGCTGACATTCACCCCAGACGCTCACTGGCAGGTGGACTGAGGTGTGACCGTCATGTCCTCGCTGGTGGCCTTCCTGCTGCTCTGGGGTGAGGCATCTGGGGCTGGGTTCCCTGGGTTCCCTGGAGGAGGGGACTGGGGGCCTCACAGACCCTATCTCCACAGGCCTCGCTCTGGGTCCCGAGACCGAGGCACTCGTATGTGAGTACAGGGCTGCACCAGGCAGGGCGGGGTGCAGTGGGTACCCCTGTGCCTGCACTACAGAGCTGTCCCGACCCCCACCAGACATAGAAACCCGGCCCACAATGTGGGCAGAATCGTCATCGCCATTGGAACCTTGGGCCAACATGTCCCTGGTCTGCCTGGCCCGCCTCCCCACACTGGATTTCCAGCTGTTGAAGAATGGAGCGGCCCTGGAGCCTGTGCGGGTCAGCTCGCCCCTCCTGCAGCACCGGTTCACTCTGGGAGAGGTGGCCAGCAACACAGCAGGACTCTACCGCTGCCGTGTGGGCGTGGACCGGGCGTGGTCCACACTGAGCAATCTCGTGGAGGTGGCAGGGTCCGGTGAGCAGCCCTCATGGGACCCAGGGGCCAGGAGGGGCGATGATGGGCCTCCCTTCCTCCTTCCCTGACATCTCTGAGCCGTTTCCCCACTGTCCAGTGGGGATGATGTTTGCCCTGTCCCGCTGACCTGGGAGGGCTGTGAGGAACTCATTCATGAGGGAGCCCCCAGGAAGCACCTAGGGCAGCACCTCCAGGCACTTGCCCCCCCCTCCCTCCCCAAGGGCCCTCCAGCCTCCAGAGCCCCTCCTGTCCCTCCTGTCTGCCTGAGCATGGGGGTCCATGCTGTGGGGCCGCCCCCTTTCTGAGTCACAGAGCCGCTCACCAATGCTGCCTACCTGCAGAGTCCTTGGCCCCGCCCAGGCTCTCAGTAAAGCAGGGGGTGTCTTGGATCACACGGGACCTCAACTTGACCCTGCTGTGCCGCGGGGAGATGCGGGGTGTGACCTTCCTGTTGAGGAGGGAAGGCGACGACGAGTTTCTGGAGGTGGTCGAGGGCGGAGAGGACGGGGAGGCCTCGTTTCCTGTGCGTCAGGCCGGCAACTACAGCTGCAGCTACCGGACCCACCCGGCGGGGGCCCCCCCGGAGCCCAGCGAGCCAGTGACTATCCAGGAGCTGGGTGTGTTGCCACGGGTCCGGGAATCCGCGGCCGCGAGGTCACTTGGGCCTGCTGGTTGCCTCGACCTCCAGCGACCTCCTTCTTTGCAGCCACGCCGCCGCGGCCCTTACTGACCATCTCCGGGCGGTCGGCGGATGTTGTGCCCCCCGGCGCCCTCCCCGTCCTTGTCTGCTTGGTGCCCCTGAGCAACGTGCACTTCCAGCTGCGGCGGGGCGAGCAGGAGGTGCAGGTGTCCAAGACCAGCACCTCCCCCAGCGCCATGTTCTTCCACCTGCCCGCAGTGGCCCCGGAGAACGGCGAGACGCCAGACGCGCACAGGCCTGGGATAGAGCCAGGCGCCCCGTGGTGGGGTCCCTGGAAGTGCCGAGTTCCGGACCGGGTCTGATCCCGACTCGCCCGCCCGGCCTCCCGTTTCCTCGTCTGTGAGTGGGACGCTGAGCGCAGCGATCTGGAGGCTCCGCGAATACCGGGCAACTCGCGAGTCCGGCCCAGGCGCCGTGGGCACCATCTGACGGTCCGGATCCGGGCGGGCGTGGAGGGCGCCGGGCTGCGGCACTGGGGCCTGAGACAGAGCGGCCGAATAGGAGTCCGTGCAGGGAGGGGGCTGCTCCTCCAACTACATACTCTGAGCTCTCCAGGCATTCGGGGAACGGGGCCGAGCGCCCCAGGGCAGGTGGCGTTGGGCAGTGTCCACCTGCTGTTCAGGGCCATGCCCGCGAGGGCGCGACCTTGCGCAGGACAGCGGAGCTGCCGCGCTGCGAGCCTTCATGTTCCTGAGGCTTTTTCATGGACACGGAAATTAACCAGGATCAGTGTAGGAAGGGGTGCAAGGTATCCGAGCAGGACTCGTGCGGGAGAGCCTGTAGGTGGGGTGGCCTTGCTTAAAGTGGTCCTGGGGGCCTCCCTGAGGAGGCGAGGGGAGCCGAGCAGCTGTCCAGGGGAGACGCCAGAGAGGCAAAGGCTGCACGTGAGGTCGGAGCCGCTCCCTCGGCGCCTGGGTCAGCCCGCGGCCTGCTCTGCAGAGACGCAGCCGCGGCGCCGGAGCTGTCGGCCGAGCCTGCGAGTCCGAACCCTGCTCCCGGCACGCTTGTGCGGCTGCGGTGCAGGGCGCCTCGGGCGGGCCTGCGCTTCGCCCTGGTGCGCGAGGACATGGACAGTCGCCAGGTAGAGCGCGTCCTGAGCCCGGCGGGGGCCGAGGCCCACTTCGAGCTGCGCAACGTCTCGGCGTTGGACTCCGCCAAGTACAGCTGCGTCTATACCGACCCCGAGCCGCCCTTCGGGGGCTCAGCGCCCAGCGCGCGCTTGCCCCTGAGCGTGGACGGTGAGTGGGGCGGTCTCGGCGGGGCCCGTCCCCCTGCCTGGGAGAAAAATGTGGGGTCCCATGGACGCGCAGTGGTTTTGGTCACGATTCCTGCGGTGAGTGGGAGTCCGCCTTGGGTACGGGGCGCCCGCGATCCGGTTTAGCTCCCGTGGACTGAGCCCGTAGGCCCCGAGCAGCGCCGCGGTTACGGGCTAGAAACTGGGCCCGAGTACTCCGGTTGCCGTGCCCCGCCGGTTGTGCACCCGCGCGTGCCTCGGTTTCTCTGTGCTCCTCGCATGCTCCTGTCATACGGGAATACCAGCGTGCAGCCCTGCCTAGCGCCGCCTGCTGGTCCTGCAGGCAGAGTTAACGCGCGGACTCCCGAGCTCCCGCGACCTCGGGGAGCACTGCTGCTACTTTCTGGCTCTGGAAGCCCCAAGCCCTGAGCCCGGAGCCCCGAGCAGGCTTCCAGGGGTGCTAGGAGGACCTGGCAGGGGTGGCGCGGGTACCCGGACTGCCTTCAGGGGCAGATTGGCCCTGGCGTGCCGGTAGCAGAGGGTCGGGTCATGGCTTTAGGACGGAGGAGGGGCTGGGCGGCCGTGCCACGCGGCGGCTCACCATGGCGTCCGTGCAGGACCCCTGCCCCGGCCGCGGCTCCAGGCCCTGTGGAGTGGGGCGGTGCCCGGGGGCCGCGACGCTGTCCTGCGCTGCGAGGGACCCTTCCCCGACGTCACTTTTGAGCTTCTGCGCGAGGGCGAGACCGAGGCGTCCGCGGAGGTGCAAAGCGATCACAGCTCGGCCAACCTGGAACTGACCTACGTGGGGCCGCAGCACGCCGGCAACTACACCTGTCGCTACCGTGTGTGGTGGCCCCGGCACCTGCAGTCGGGGCTCAGCGACCCCGGGGAGC